TTCCATGAGCAAGGGACAATGCTATTATTTCTTCTTTCCTTTCTTTGCCTTTCTGAATTATTAGTTTCACATCGCTAGCAACTCTCTGTATTAATTCCCATCAATGGAACCGCCACCTACAGAGCGGATAAAAAGGTCGAAGGAAAATCCACCATTCCCTCTGCTCCTGCTGTGGCTCTCAGCGGCTATGAGTTCATACATTTGTCTTTCAGACTTCATAAAATCTTTCTGTGCACTTCATGGGATCAAATTAGCAGAGGCTGAGCATGTATTTAATACTCTTTTAAAAGAAAAAGAAAAGCTTCACTGAAATGAGATGACTTAATTGAAAAAGGGAGAATTTTTCCTTTAATTTGAAAAGAATAATGAGCTTTAGTGAGATAATTGGATTTGTTCCAGTCAGGGCCGGCTCCAGGCACCAGCCAACCAAGCACGTGCTTGGGGTGGCACCTTGTAAGGGGCAGCCAATTTTGGGGTGGCGGGGGGCGCTCGGGGTTTTGTTTTGTTTTTTTTTTGTTCGGCGGGGTGGCGCTCGAGGTTTTTTGTTGTTGTTTTTGTTTCAGCTGGGCGGTGCTTGGGGGGTGGGCTTTTGTTTTGGCAGCGTGGCGCGGCACTGGGGGGGTGTTTCGGCAGCGCAGCACTCGGGCGGTGTTTCGGCGGGGCAGGGCGGTGCTTGGGGGGGTGTTTCGGCAGGATGGCGCGGTGCTCGGGGGGTGTTTTGGCAGCACGGCGCGGCGCTCGGGGGGGGGTTTGGCGGTGTGGCACTGGGGGTGGTGTTTCGGTGGCGTGGTGCGCAGCGCTGGGGGCAGTGTTTCGGCGGCGCGGTGTGGCGTTTTGGAGGCACAGCGCTCGGGGGGGGGTGTTTCGGCGTGGCGCTCAGGGAGGGGTGTTATGGCAGGGTGGTGCTCTTTTTTTTTTTTGCTTGGGGCGGCAAAAAAGTTAGAGCCAGCCCTGGTTCCAGTTTGTTATCTTATTGTACCCATTCTCCTTTATACTTTTGCCAGGTGATTTTGTCTTACCAAATCTTGTTGCTCCTACTACTTAAATAAGCAAAATTCCCCTTGAAATCAGGGGAGGTTTATCTTGAAGAGCCACAGAATAAACACTGCAGTGTTTGGTCCTCTTTACAAAGTCACTTTTTTTTAAAATGCAAATTTTTATATTTTTTCTCCATTTTCCAAACAAAACTTCTGGTTCAGGAAAGTAGTTATGTACCTGCTTAACTTAAAGCAAGTGGGTTCTTTATATCAATAGGAACACTCATGTGCTTAACATTATGCACATTTAACTTCCTTCGTGAATTTGGGCCTAATATGAAATATCAAGACTATTTTGCAAATCAGAACTGTACTCTCTATATGTATTTTCTGTTATATATTCCTCCCATCCCTGGCATGTATCAGTGCAGCATGGAATTGCAATATCTGGCAGGTTAAATTCACATTAAAGAAAGTGTTGTCTATCATTTCCTTACAGTGCCATCAGAACACTACAAAATTTCTGGCACTCAAGTGTTAAAAACAAAGGACAAACAGCTATACCGTCTTCCTCTTAATAGAAGAGAATGTGTTAGAGCTTTAGCAGTACATATGATTTACAAGTAGGTGGTATCATGGGGACAATGTTAAGGAGGTTTATAGCACACCCACACACATATACAGAATGACCCAGGACACAACATTTGGATGTGGATCCAAATTTTATCCATGCTGTGAGTGTTCAGTGGTTTAGGATCCGATCCATACTTACCACACCTGATAGTTTTAAATCTAAGTACTCACCTTAAAGAGAGATTTTTTCCAGGGTAAGTCTCTGCCAATACTGAAATGAACTATGTTTTGCTGCCTCTGCCTGATATTTAAAACATTGCAGATGATAAGCATGTTTACAGTTCATCCCATTAGTCATGTATTAACATACAGGAACAAATTCACCTAGACTCCAATTTTGAAAAACACTTAAGAATGTGCTTAACATCAAGTATGTGCTTAAATTTCAATGAGCTTTAAAAGTCAATGGGTTTAAAAAATTAAAGTTAGAAATATACTAACTTTAGACATATGCTTAAGTACCTCACTGAATTAGGGTCTTAAATACTACAGTGATTGGTATGTTACTAATAGGTAGGTAGAAGGATAAATAGTAGTTGTTTCCTGCCAGACCACTCAGATGCTGATAGACATTCCCTAAACCAATGGAGCCCCTTCAAGCATGATAGGGGAACATGCAGTATTCTCTCTCATAGTTATGTGCTGCTTTTAGGGTCTGTCCATCTGTTTGTCTTGTTTTTCCTCTCTCCGTCTCTTTGTTAGCCCACAGGAATGCATAGACGTGTTTTAGCACTGAAAAATGCTGAAATCTGATTGAAAGAAAAGTTATCCCATGCATCATTTGTGCTGTTGTTCATTGGCTAAGTTAGTGCTCATGGAAGTGTGGGTCGAATAGCACTGTTCTGAGCTAGGTATAATGTTGTGCAAGGCCTACACAACTTTCTCTGCATGTTTCTGTCGATGCATCTCAGTCCAATAAGTTGTTTGTATCCTATGCAGTTTTTTGCATAGCTGTGATTTTTTTTGTTTGTTTGTTTTAAAGCAGCCACAAGCTATAGGATCCTCTCACACCTTCAGTTCCAGTTTGTCTGACTTCAGCTTCTGCTGTGTCTAATTATTTCCTGTTGGGATCATTGATTATCATCATTCAATGTAATGTAGCAAAGGCTATTTTAAAGTATTGTGGGAATTAAATTACTTTGCTTGGAAAAAGTTTCTGATGTGTTGGATTTTCAGTTTATTCAAGGAGAAATTTCCATATGAATGAAAGAAAAATAGTCTCTGTTACACATATGCACATGAAATTGTAAAAGCACCCTTCTTTGGATGTGCTTGGAACATATTAAGCTGTTCTCTCTGGCTTATCTCATATTGTTCTAGCTATAGATAAACATTAAAAGCCTTAAATAATTCCACATGTTTATATGCATCTTGTATGGCTTTGAGAAAACATTTCTAGCTCATGCAGCATCCAATTTTATGAAAATTATTTGAAACATATTGTTTTCCTTTCTTAAATAAAATATCCACTCTAAACAACATTTCAGCTGAGCAGAAGGACGTGGAAACAAACAGCAGAGGAGAATCCAGACAAAAAGACTTAAGCCAGAAGGTAAAGATGAATTCATGAATTCCATACTAGATTTCTACTGGGGAATAGTTGATTGCACAGAAGACATAATAGATGGGTGGGAAGTGTGAATGTACTTAATTAATGTAAAGGGCTTGAATCACTATGCTGGTAAAAATAATCTTCAAAAAGATCTTGGGTCTCACATAAATCAGGGTAAATCAAAGCCAAATGAGTAAAGTCAATACAACTGCCTCTGATGAATGGAGAATAAGGCCTTGCTGTAATTGCATTGGTGATTAAAACATATTTTGAAGATATTTTCAACGATAGTGTATAGTACTTTGCTTCCTTTATTCTTACTGTTGGTTTTACTTTCCATTGTTTCTTAGAAGCTTGCAGATTAAGGGCTTAATTGCATCTATAGGCACAGGCCAGTCTTGGGGCAGTTTAGAGTCATGAAGTCCTAAGGGAAGCACTAGTGGGCATTCAGAGTGATAGGAATGCAGAGGCAACGCTCTCCTGCTATACCCTTCACTGGCCTGTAGAGACAGACACCCACTCAAGGCTGCTATACCCTTCACTGGGTGCAGCCTTGAGTGGGTGTATGTCTCTACAGGCCAGTGCACAGATGTTGGAGATCCATTTCCCTGCCTCCTCTCTGCCATCTTGGAGCTCTCTGTACTCCTAGGAGCATGAGGATTGTCCCCTGGATTCATCTGAATTAAATTTACTTTCAGGGAGGGTAAACAAAAAGGGTTCTGTTTTTCTTATTAATACACAGGGCATTGTTCATGAAATTCCTTTCATCGATAATGGAAGCAAATCGACCATGTAAATTCTGTGAGTCTATGGGAAAATAGACCATCACACATACATATCCCCTCTGCCAAAGAGAGTTGAACACAGAACTCTCTGATCATCAGAATAGGAGCTCCTGCACGCTCTGCAAAACTGTGAAAACATCCCCATGATAATCTCTGCTTCCACTGAGAAGGCCTCCATGCAATCTCAGAATCTGTGACCCTGGCACTGTGCAACAACTTCTACGTTGATTAATCCATCTCTATAGTTGAGAAAAGCACACCTGTCTCATTGAGAGGGACATCAGAGCTGTTTGCCAGCTTTGATGTTTCATAACAGGGAAATAATGGCTGATAAATGTTGTTGTCAATTAGGTTGATGAATTGAAACCATCGCCATCCACTCCCGAAGCCAAAGACCCCAGAAGTGATATTTCCATTGAGGACACTGTCTCCCTGAGACAAAGAGTTGATGTGTTAGAAATAATAGTAAGTGGCTCCAGAGGTTAGCTGGCTCCAGAGGTTAGCTCCAGAGGTTACAGTTCTCTCAAGGGACTGTAATTTTGATCCCCAGGAAATTTAGTCTTCATTGAATTATTGCTATAGGCTTCAGGATACAGAGGCACCAAGCAACAGGAGTGCTCTTTCTTGAAAACAGATTTAAAAATTAAGGGTTAGTTTGAGACCTAATTTCTAGCTTTATAGAAGGAGCAGGAACAGCCCTGGGGAGGAATTGTAAATCAGGGAGTTACAGTTCTTTTTTTTGTTCCCCCTTCCTCTAGAGAGAAAGTTCCATACTGCAGCCATTCATTTCCTGCTCTTCTGACCAGTATTTTAGGGGAGGAGAATAGATCCAAGGGCATGGGGAGATGAGAAAACCCTACGGAGCTTTCTCTCTCCTGTGTTTCCAGAGTACTGATCCAGGCAGGCTGTGCACTAGGGCAGAGTCTGGTGTATATGTCTTTATATTCCAGCATAGCTATCTAAGGGCTGATGATGGAAATTACATCAGGAGATTTCCATAGTTGTGAGCAATGTTGCTGATTTTTTTTTCCTTCTTCATGATTTTAGGGTATGAAATCCATAAAGATGATTGTTTCCCAAAAACCTGAAGAAATGAAATTAATGCTGGCTCAGCACAACAGTGAAAATAGGTCTGAAGAAGAAATCCAGGTATTTCTTTGCATCCATACAGGTTCCTTCATTAGGGGAATTGGGATTTCAACAAACTGAATGATGTAGGTTAATCCTAAACAGGCACATAGCTCCTACAGGATCGCTGGCTTCTCAAGTTTTACATGGCCTATTATTTGCCCATCATTTATTCTCAGAGCAAGAATCTTGACAAAAAGTGCTGGCCAATAGCTTCACATTAATGGTATTAATGAGATGTCTGGTTACATTTAGAAAAATTAACAAATACATCATACAAACTGCAGAGTGTAGGAAAATAAACCCCACCTGGGAACTGATTCTTCTCTGCCTTGTACCCTATAGAGTCATTTATACCTATGCTGAATGCCAGGCCCTGGACTTCACTCCAGGCCTTCTGTGCCATTCCAACAGGATAATGGACCATAAAACTGGCCTAAAAGGCTAATTGTGGAGTCTCCTGGCATGAGGAAAACTACGAGTGGTGTAGCTTGTTCCCTTAGCCCCCTACCTTATTGACAGTTCAGGCCAGAGTGCTGCTTGGGAACCATTGTTAACCAGTGTAACTTCGAGCCAGCTCAAGACTGCTCAAGCTGTGTAGGGGACCAAATTGGCCCCCAAGATGGCCCTAGGATCAGATCAGGGAACTACAGATATAGTATAAAACTCTTTAGTTGCCATCTCCTTACAATTCTGAATCACGTGCAACTCGTCAGGCTTCAGAATTGGGGCCAGTGAGTGTAGGACGCTATTATAGCAACATCCCTGGTACATGATGTCCTGATGATGTTCCATTTGTTTGGATGTGCTTTGTTACTGCTGCCAAGGCACAAGTAGGCTCTGGCAGCAGACTGGTGACCTTCCTTGGCTATTGGATTACAGCTTTGTTTATATAAAATGAAAGATGCCTTTGGGTTGCCAGCCTGTATTGTACCTTATGTAACAAAGATCAGGTCTCTTCCCCAGCTCACTGCTCTTTAGGGTTGGAGTTGGGTGAATTATTTGTAGTAAATAATTTATTTAACTTATTTAGCCCTTTTTCTGTTTCTAAATTATCTGCAAATAGACTTGGATTTTTAGGAATTTATTCGTTACTTTGAATTATTCAATGATGGGTTTAATAATTATTTCTCAAAGTGGGCTTCAGGATCCAGAGACCCCAAGCAACAGGAGTGCTCTTTCTTGAAAAGAGATTAACAGATTTAGGGCTAGTTTGAGACCTAATTTCTAGCCTTATAAAAGGGGCAGGTGCAGCCCTGAGAAGAAATTGTGACTCAGTGAGTTACAGTTCTTTCTCTTGTTCCCCTTTACTCAAGAGGGAAAGTACCTTACTGCAGCCACTAATTTACTCCTCCGACAGCCTATAGATTGCTTACAAACTTCTTTGGAAAGTGAATACACTAGGTTGTTTTCTAAGCCATCAGAGCAAGTTTGACAATTGGGTTCAAATGTATGGTGACAAATACATTATCAGCAGTACATCTCTAAGTCTATTCAGCACTGCATATTCATTGTTGAGTTAAAAGCTTTCTTCTTTATTGTTACCTCCAACCTTTAAGTACACAGATTAATTCAGAAAACCAGGTCATATGTTCTCCTTATCATAACATTTGAATGTGTTATATAAAATTGATGAAATAAATAAACAGAATTATTATTATTGATATTAATTACAATAATACCTAGCTCTTATATATGATGTACCTATCATACTTACCTCTTATGTATGTGTATGTTACCAAAAAAAATGGAAGCAATTCAAAAATGAGGGACAAGAATGATTTAGTGGTATGGAAAAACTTGCATATGAGAAGAGAATGAAAAGATGAACTGTTAACTCTATGGAGAAAGTAGGTAAGAAGGGATATGATAGAAATTAATGGTATAGAGTAGTTAGAGTGAATTGAAGTTCCCTACCTTTCTCATAATACTAGAACAAGTATAGATTCAATTAAACTGAAAAGGAGCAAATGTAAAACCAATAAAAGGAAAAGCTTTTTTCACACAATGCATGCATATGTAGAATTCATTGCCACAAGATACCATTGAAGCCAAAGGCTTAGCAGGGTTCAAGACAGGAATGGGCATGTATATGGATAACAAGAACTTAGAGTTACAATACTCAGGATTAACAAAAAAATTTCAAGTGTTATAAAACCCTCTTGCTTAAGAGCATAAGCCAAAGTGTAAGTAATGAGGAAGAAAATTTCCCTGTGGGCAGATTATCCTATAAATGCTTATGGAAGAATTCCAGAATATTCTTCTAAAGCAGCTGGTACTGGACACTTTCAGAGACAAGGTAGACTAATTGTGAGGGTTGATGTGGAGTCTAGTCCCAGTTTATGTAATCTCTCAGTGGGATATGAATCCCATTTTAAATAGAAGATCGGAGTCTAGAATTCACAATATCCTGGCTCCCAGCACAGGGCATTTCCACTAAACCAAAAGATAGTCTAATGAAGGAAATACAGCAGGGGGGGAAATAAGCATTTTCCTCCTTTTTTCCTCCATTTTGTCTATATTCTGCCTGGAATGTGTGCTGTGTGTGAAATTTTGAAGCAAGACACCAGGGTGGCGTATGTGCTGTGCCAAAAGCAAGCTGTGCTATGCAAACTTGAGAAAGAAAATTGTGATTGTTGACAGCTTTTGACTTGGCAAAATCTGAATAGATTTACATGAGACTAGCAAAAAGTACCTCCCTTGCTCCAGGTTTATCTCCCTGCCCAATTTCAAAGTCCCACATAAAACATGGAGTCTTTAGAGTGCTTCAAGAGTTTTTAGAATGGAAAGTGCCAGGCAGGTTTAACATAGATGTCACTGCTCCTCCTCTTGTAGTACTGTGTGGGATTCATTCTGCTCAAGATGAAATCAGTGGAAACAGGTGCAGTCCCTATACAATGAACATGATTTAAAAAGTACGTTGTTTGCCCTGAAATATTTACCTTTCCCATGATAGTCACAATATCACCTATATTTAGAATGGGAATTATTATGTGAAACTTAACTACATCTGGTGATAAATGTACAACTTTTAGTGGTGCCATTTTATATATTTTCCCTCAAATCCGAAACATTAAGACCATCACAGTGAGTACCTTCTCTGCATTCTTAATAGTTGATTCTTTTACTTCCTGCAGCAGGTGGATGTAGGGGGCAGTGAAGGATAGACACATATTGCAGGAATTTGTATGGTAAACATCTGTCACACTAGCAAACAGGGGATTCTTATTTCTGTGCAAACAGTTATTTGCTGAAATATCAATCTAGCCATCTATTGCTACAAAACACCTATTTCCATTTATGTTAATTTTCCCTATTTTAACTTTAACTCTTTTTTAAGAGCAGATTATAATTTTTTTCAGACTTAAAACAATTTAGGTAGCAATTGAGAGTGTACACCCTTTTCTGCTTGAAATATATTTATTCATCATGGTTTTAGTTAAGTCTAGTTCCATTCAAGTGTGATAGCATTCTACATCTTCTAATTTTATAGAGAGCTATACCATTCCCAGTTATCTAAAAAACACACAAGATGTCAAAAACCTACATTTGGAAACATATGTTCCATTTTGCTATTTTCAGGAGGAAAGGCATCAAGGAATTAGATCAGATGTTTGCCAGTGTCCTTAACTAACGCAGATGGAAATCTTTGGCTAATGAGCACAAAATGTAGGTAGAGGGATATTTATTTTCTGTAAGCTGTCATTAGGGATTCATTGCAGGTGCACTGATAATATTGTGAGGTCTTGGTATTCATAGAGTAGTTCAGAGCACCTCTGCAGACATTACGCATTTGCCATGTGCAGTGATTTTTTGCAATTAGAATAGTGTTACTTACATATCCCCAGTTTATTACAGAAGACTAATTCAACACAGTTCCTTTATACCACCTGTGGGGCTCTTGACAAGTAAATGTACTACAAAGTGAAAATATAGGAAACGGCCTGTAGATTGTAGCCCTTGTTCTGCTTTCACCTCACTTAGCATTTTTCATTTTCTTGGCATGTTGAGTAGTGGCAGGCTCAATGTAATAACAGGCAGTGTCACCTTTCTGTCACCATTCTTGCAGCTGTCATTTCAGGTACGAAAAAACTGATGTCTGACAGACAGTACATCTGGCACTACCCAGTATGTTCTCCCCAGAACTGCCATGTGGGTTCTCTTATCCATATCAAAGGTAGAATAGTCTCAGTTTTACAGATGAATGCAGAGAGAGGGAGAATAAGGGATTTATATAAGATCACAAAAGAAGGTGGCAGAGCTAGGAGCTGAACATTGTTTGTTTGTTTGTTGTTTGGGGTCAAATGAACAATTACTTCAGACTGAAACAAAACTTTGAAATTTTATTTCATTTCTGAGCATATTTAACATTTATAATAATAAAAAATTTAAAGGAAATTTCAAAACAAAACTTAGTTCTGAATCAGAAAGTTTAAACATTTCATTGCAGAACTATTGACATACTGACATTTAAAAAAAATTATTTTAGGCTTTGGGTTTTTTTGACTGAAACAATAAGGCAAAATTAACATGAATTCACAAACTGTTTTGGTGGCACATTTTTCACCAAAAAAGAGTTTCTATTGAAAAACTCTACTCTGGAACTCAGTCTCTGCCAGTGGCCAGTACTAGAAGCTTCAGAGGAAGGTTCAAGAACCTACATAATGGACATTGGCAGCCTTAACTGAGCTTTGCTTTTGTGTGTTTGAGTCTAATCCTCACTATTCTTTTAAAACAGATGTTTTTTTCCCCCAAGACATCTAACAAACTCATTGGTTCAATTCACATTTCCATTCACTTTAGTGTTTTCCCCCACATTTTCATGGGGTCCACACTGGCAGCTTGGGATACCTACAAAGTTATACTGTAATACTGAAAAGAAATAAATTGTTTCAGTTAATTTTGTTGCTTATCAAAAGAAAATATCTAGTATGTGCCATCTTACTGATATTTCTCTGAGGCCCATACTACACAGCGATGCCCCATTTAGTACATTAGTGCCAAAAACCCCTGCTGATCTCATCCATGACAATGGGAAATTCTCATTGCAATACCTGCCATATACACTATGATAAATACAATGCTAAAACCTTATTGACTTAGGGCTTGATCCTACAAGCACTCAGCATTCTGGCCCAGGCCAGAAAAAGGTGTAAGCTTGTCTTTAATGAGAACACCTGCACTCTTAAAGTTAAAGACAATGTAGCAACTCACATACTCGAAGTTAAATACTTGTTAAATGTTTGTTGAATTGAGGCTCAGCACCTTTTAGGACTGAGTGCCAAAATGGTGCCATCTTCTCTACTGTCTTTAGGGTAGCACATTCAGATGTAGATACCCAAGGTCTGGTGCAAATATATTTTGCTGCCAAAGGTACAACCTGGGGCTTTAAATTTTGGGAGAGCTTTCTGCACTACTGACTGAATCAACCAGTAAGATTACCTACTTATGATGGATTTAAAAGGGAACACCACTACACCTTTCATGGTAAGAACTGGATATAGGCATCAGTTGCAGAGTATGGATCTGGCCTGGGATCTGAGTCTAAACTTTCCCAGGATTTGGAAGTTTTTGTTTCCGCCATTCCATTTGAGCCCACCTCCACTAATAAGAAGCCCAAATCAAACAAACGCTGAGACATTGTATGCCAGGGAGATACTTTTCAAATATTTGTATGAGGTGATGAGTGTTAAAGGTACCGATAAACTAGCTACAACACATTAGATTTCTGTCATCTTGGAAGACCTGTCAAGACCTTCAGGTAGAGAAGTATGGATTCATCCATCTTGGAGTTTTTCACTTACAAGGTGGCATATGTGTAAAAATGAAATCTATCCGATGACATTTTATTCTAGAAAGTGCTATCCATCTAGAGTTAATGAACCATTTCTTTGTAATCTATTTGATTCATCTTGAAGACATGAAAGTACATCTTGTAAATGGTGATATTATTGAAAACATCTTATTATGTTGGAACTTTTGTATTCACTCTTGCTTGTATCTGATGTGAATGCCAATGTGTCCAATTTCTTGAGAATTAAGATATCTGTTTTCCATTTATAGCCTGTTATTATCAGCAGTCTCCCTGATGACTTCTTCAGAAAAGAGCATGATGGAAATTACTAATGGAACTGAGAAGTGAACATTTCAGGGAATACTGCTAGATTTGTTTTAATCAGGAATACAACAAAATATTTCTGAAAAGGTTTTGACCACTGGAATTAATTTGACTAAATCCACAGGGGGTACACTCAAACCAGTGTCATGTAGGTAGATTCTCTAAATATTCCTAGTTCAGCTCAGTCTGAGCTGTATGTATTTCATACATAGGGTATGAAATATTTCTCATTGGAACAGATTGTGCCCTGATGATCTTTGGGGAATGCATAAGGAGCTCTCATCTTGCTCCCATGATAGTGCTCCCTTGGGCACAGTTTAGCCCCTGTCCAATTCCTGCTGGTTGGTGGCTGTGAACTTCTACAAATACCAAAGCCACAGAAGATACCATTAGTTTAATATACTTGACTGACTGCTAAGTACAGTGAATATCTAATTTTTGCAAATGCACCTTTTCTTCCCATCTTGACTGTTACACTGCCCTCCATCACCCATACCATTTGTCTCTTGATTCATCTATTTTTGTGTTATTTGTGTGTACAGCTGATAGTACAATGGGGTTCTAAGACCTGTTCGGGGTGCTTAGACATTACTACAGTAGAGGTAGTAATAATAATAAACAAAAATAATTGAAACATATTTATAAAAGGGGGGAAGGGAACTCTCCAGTTGTGCTATGCTTTGTCAGTAACTGAGCAGCACAGTGCAGACTAAGGAATCAGCACTTTCTTGAGTATAGGGCTGTGCAGAGAATGACCATCTGAGAGGGAGCTGCAGGAGTGACTGTGCATGAGAGGACAAAATTCCTCCCTCAACATCCCAGCATACAGAGGAAGTGCATATTCACCAGCACTCCATTGAAAGTCCAGCTTGAATGGGCTGGTACAGATGGAGAGTGGGCCATGATACTGTAGTGATTTGCATCCACCAGGGGATATGCAGAGGCTGTGATTGTATCTGGCCCTTGAGTAGCAGGTACAAGAGGAAATGAAACTTTGGGCCCCAAAGAGTGATTGGAGTTCATACCATGCCATTTTGCTGCAGACTGGCATTGTCCTGAGGCAATGTTAGTTTAAATGACTCATCTCCAATCATTCTATCATTTTCAGCATGAAATGAAGAGATATTCCTATTTATTTTCCTGTTTAGAAAATGTTGTTAATTTTTAAATAATAGAAAAATACAAGATTCAGCAAAAAGAGATACCATGAAACACAATGAACCAAGAACTGAGCCTTAATGTACAAAACTGCCATGAGAACGTGAGAAAATAGCGTAAGCATTTTCTTGTACCGCAAAAGCAGGATTATATGAAGTGAGATACTTAGCTGTTGGATTCAAATGCTGAATAACAGTTTCCATCTTGTGCTTGAGAACAGAATATCTCTGATATTTAGCAACCAAGAAGATGAAGTGGATCCAATGCTCCATCTGTATTTCTCAAGGGATTTTCTAAATTAATGATAGAATTCCACATTCTTTAATTTAACCTCCTTCTTCCCTTCACCCCCTTTTTTGTCACAGGGGACTTCTTATCTACTTGAGTGTGTTTATAAATTGAATATGTCTACAGCAATGGAGTTCCAAGAAATGAAAGGCAGAATAATGCAGCTGCAAAACCACATGCTTAATTTCACAGGCCAGTTCCTCAATATGGAGGGAAGAGATGATTCTCTGATGCATTCTCTAAACTCACAGGTCTGTATTGTTCTGCAATGCATGCTTGACGAATTTGACAAACATTTTTACAATATAATGTTAAACCCTTTTCCAGCTTGGAAGATATTTAAATTCTACACTGATGGTGCAAAAATTATTATTGATTTTGTAAATGTAAATTGTACCCTGTCATTGTCTGGCTATACTGAAAGGAGGACAGGAGACATTTGGTATGGTTTTAATCAGGCCACAACTTTCTTATTAGGTGTCTGGGACTACCCGGCAGATAAAAGTGTACAGTGCACTAACCCCATGTTCATTCAATAACTTCTCAGAACACTTCTAGCAACGCCCGCTCTTTTTCCATCCAGGACCCCCAGCCAATCCATTGCTGAGACATTACCATCCATCACACCCCCTCCCCTCCCTTGGAAGGAGGAGGGCTAAAGTGGGCTATAAGAAAGAGGAGTTGGTTCCCTGCCATACCAATCATAGGAACCCAAAATATCTCTCCCCCCAGTCCCATTCCTTTAACAAAACACCTCCTTTTTAAGTTCTTAACCAAGCCATATATCCGGTCACTGTATCGCTTTCCTGGGGAGTACCCGCACTGAAAATCTGCCCCACACTTACGTAATGAGTTATGACATACAGCCTAACTCCCTTCATGCCACATGTCAACAAAGCCCTTCCTGAACTCACTGTGGGGAAGGTGAATAAACCCCAACTCCACCTAGGCCAATCTGGTGGTAAGGGAAAAATTCCTTCCCAGCCGCCCCCAAAAGGGGTAGCGAGCACAATGCCCACAACAGGTCTAGACCAAACCTGGTATTTCACCACCTAAAGGGGAGGGAGGGTGGATGCTACCTCAGCTTGCTCCGTGTGAAAGGGGACTTCACCGCATGGGCTTCCCCTTTTAAACTCTCCCACCAGCCATAAAGCACTGTTCTCCTCATTCGGCCACCCAGACAAATTCCCCCCGCCCGCTTAAAGGAGCGATGCGGTCATTGCCTTATTGTGTATCAGGCCAGTACAGAGAGCTGACAATTGCTAACCTAGGGTTACAATGATAATTTAAGAATCTGTAACTAAAAGAAACAGCAGGGAATTCCCATTGACTTCAATGAGATCAGGATTTGACCCCTGAGTCCCATCTCACTTACACCAGTGCATTCAGAAATAACTCCCCTGAAGTAAATAGAATTACATGAGTGAGAGGAGAATCAGGTCCTTTGTCTTTTCTAACCTTGATATTTTCCCCCAAGTCTAATCCAGGTAATGGAGCATGCTCAGGAAACATTGTTTTCTATTTGTTCTATTATCTGATCATATTGATTGGAATGGTAAATTCTCCTACTCTCATACCTTTTGCCTTTGCTCAGGCTTGCCTTTCCAGCAGGTTGTCTTTGTTTTCACCCTGTGTGGATGCCATTATAGAATCTCAGAATTATAGAAATGTAGGGCTGGAAGAGGTCATCTAGTCCAACCCCTGTGCTGATGCATGAGGAAGAACACCTAGACAATCCCTGATGGGCATTTGTCCACCCTGTTCTTAAAAACCTCCAGTGAGAGGGAGTCCACAACCTCCTTTGATATTCCAGTGCTTAACTATCCTTATAGTTAGAACTCCGGGCCTACAGTATTAGAAAGTTTTTCTTAATATCTAATCTTATATGCTATATGTATTTATTTATCTATATGTTAATGTTTTATACTGTAATTGGGGGTGTTTCGGTTTATTTGAGATGTCATATTTTTCTAATTTTTGTAAATACACATACACCACCACAGGGTAACTCTCACACCTTCTGGGTGTAATGTTCTGTCCCATCTAGTGGCACCAAAATCACTTAGAGGGCAAGATAAAATGAGTCTGCTCTACAACCTTAGCTAACAGTCAGTTGGCTTTTAGCTCATGTGGTAGAGGCTCATGCACTAAGTTTTAAAGGCCCCAGGTTCAATCCCGCACACCGACGACTGGGGTCTGTCAGCATTACATATACACACCCCATCTTGTGTCAGGGTGGACAGTGGGTGTGCTGACACCGCGGTTACTGTCTACCAAACTGTCTTGGGCCTCACCATGATCGGGTTCAAGGGTCAGAGTCAACACAGTGGCCCTTGAGTTCAGGGCAGCATGGCTAGTGACCAGAGTCAATACTGTAGGCCCGGAGTTCAGGGCAGTGTAGCCCAGTGGCCAGAGTCAATATAGCAGCCCTCACATATAAGGCACTACGGGGATGGTGGCCCAGGTAGGGTTCGCAGGCCCACCCAACTCCACCGGGCTCCAACAGTGGTGGGGTGGTTCTCCACTGGGTCAGCGGGGAATCCCACCGAAACATGCTGACCTCACATGGGTGGGAGATACCACTCGCTCACCCTCCCTGGGTCACTTCCTACTGCACTTCCTGAAGCTGGAGTCCATGGGGCATCGGGGTCTCCGGGCTCCTCAGCACAGATAATTCCCTGGGACTCCATTGGCCACAGATCTCCAGTCTGGATCTCAGGATCTCTGGCTCCCACAGGCAAGGGCTGTGACGGCTCCTTAGCTGAAGCCTCCACCAAAGGTCCTTCCTCTCTGGCTGTCAGCCCTGACTGAGCAGGGCTGCTCCCTTTTATACTAGCATAGCACTTGGAGCATGCCCAGTATGGTCTGAGGGGCGGAACTTTCTCCGCCCATAGTGTGGAGTTAACCCCTTCTGGCCCGGTGAGGGGTATGCACACCCCATCACAACCCCATTGTACTAACGAACATCTGAAATAGAGAACAATTATACTATAACTTCATTTACCACCAAAAATGCAGAGAAAACTGTACTGGAAGATCATATCTGTCACTTGAATTGCTGCAAAATTGTGTCTCAATTGCACAGTTTATTGTAATATGACTTTCCAGGTGGCTACTGTTATGGATGAGTCAAAATAAGAACTTTGAATAAAAAATCCCTTTGAATTGTGTGGAATTCAGAATGCAACTCCCCTGATTCAAGCCTAACCCAGGTTGTATGCAACACCTGAATGGGCTACTTGTATAATGCTGGCTTGAATGTGTCTGAAATCTCAAAAGAATGACTGATCTCATGAGACTTCCTCCATTTTTTGTTAAAAACTCACAAGAAGATCTCACAGATTTTGGTAATTCGAGTCCAGAGCTGAACCTGAGACCTCTAGCCTAATTCTACTCTGGATCTAAACACTGCATATTGGGCGAAATCTTGGTCCCACTGAAGTCAATGGCAAAAATTCCATTGATTTCAATGGAGCACTTGTTTCACACATACAATTTTATTCAGCATGTCATCTTTAATGAAGAGGCAAACTTGGACTGTATCTCTAAAAGTTTAATTTGGTTGTCCATTAGATGTCAGTATTGTTCCAATGCTATTACAGTTGCTTTTCTTGCAATATAAAGAAGCTGCACCTTACAAGAGTACCTCAGAGATATATAACCTTTTACAAGTACTTTCTGTATGATTGGGAATGCTTACTCCAATGGATTTTTCCTTACTTTTAACTTTTAAAATATTGCTTAACATTTTTTTCCTTAACTCTTGCAGAATCTTTTTGAGTCTAAGATGAATGTCATGGAAAAACAATTTAACAATGCCACTGAGGCTTTGAATAGCCTTCAAAACCGCCTTGAAGAGGTTAGCTTGTTAATTTTTCAGAAATGAAATATGATTTGCAATAGACAATAACTTCGTCTACACAATGTTTTATTTGTAACATTGCTATTTAGGAGTGTAGTGTGGGGCAGGAATATACACTAAAGTCTCAACACAGCCATTGTCATCAAATATTTATGTATGTAGCGTTGTCGTAGCCATGTCCCAGGATATTAGAGAGAAGGTGGGTGAGGTAATATCTTTTATTGGACCAACTTCTGTTGGTGAGAGAGATAAACTTTTGACCTTACACAGAGCTCTTCTTCAGGTCTAGAAAACTTAATCAGAGTGTCACAACTAAATACAAGGTGGAACAGATTGTTTAGCATAAGTAGTTAATACATATTCTAAGTGACCATTCAAGCTGAAGTGACCCATTAATACCACTCCAGTTATAGTGTGGAAAGGAAGATTTGGACCCTGGGGTGTTATCAGAACATAAATATTCATTAATACTAATAATGCTTAGATATATTTTAGCGGTTACATATTTTTTGTCTATGGATGAGGAATTATAACTTTAATTAAATCTGTATGTATTTCTGGTCAATATTTCCTTAAAAAACAATCCAAAACTATACTACTAATAGCCTAGGACACTGAAACATGAGGATATGTCTACACTGCAAAAAGAAAAAAAGAACAAAAGAACAAAACAAACCCTGTGGCACTGAGTCAGAGCCTGGGTCAAATGACTTGGGCTTGCAGGGCTCTTGCTATGGGACTAAAAACAGTAGTAGACATTCCAGCTCTGGCTGGAGCCCTGGCTCTTAATCCTAGTAAAGGAGAGCGCCTCAGCTACAGACCAAGTGGGAATGTCTACACTGCTATTTTTAGCCCCATACTGAAAGCCCTGCAAGCCAAAGGCATTTGACCTAGGGTCTAAGTTTCAAAGCCACAGGTTGTTTTCTTTTTCTTTTCTTTTTCCCCTTGCAGTACAGATGTATCCTCAAGCTTCAGGGGCCTGGGCTATTAGCAGTATAAATTTGGATACCTGAATATGCGAGATTTTGACCTAGCAAGAGAATGTGACTACTTGCATGAAAACTTTCAAATGAAATGGCATGGATTCCGAACCTTGGAAAGAAAATATCATTGCTCTCTATCCAGTTCCAGCCAGTCTTTTCTTAGAATTGCACTGGGGATATGTTCAAAGATGCTCTTATGCAAAATGCAGGGTAATACTGAGCACTGTCTGTGACTGAATACAAGGCAGCAATTCAGTGAAATGCTTCTGTGGATGTCATAAAGCACAAAAGCGCAATTCAAGTAGAGCAGCTGAATCTCAGGGCTGAAATTGTAGCCCTTGTATTCTGCCTAGGATGGGGGCTTGTTTTTTCAATATATTGCAGCACCACAGTGTTTCGAATTTTGGATTCCAAGAGAAGGAAATTTAGATATTGTGAATGGATACTTATGGCAGAGGCATAGGATATAGAAATAAATACAGGATATTCAGGTGGTGATTTATTTTGGGTAGGGAAATCACACACACACACACAGTTCCCTGTTCCCAATACTGCGCATTATGGAAGGAAGACAAACCTATAGGGAAATTTCATCAAGAGGGACAGTGGGTAAACAGGCGTGTAGCGCGCACACACACACACACACACACACACACACACACACACACACAAAATGTTCCAGCCATTGTACTTTCTGTAAAATGTCCATGAGTGATGGTATACAGAGAAAAGGAGCTGTTTCCCTAGAACATGGCAACATGTTCCCTTAGAAAAATAGAATGTGCTAAGCAGGAAATGATAGTAAATTTAAAGTTGCTTAAAGCTGTTGCTGAGTACTCTATGCCCTACTGTCAGAAGGGTCAGAGTATGCAGCAGTGGCAGTGACTTGGCCGGCCTGGCCTGGCTGATGGAGGTAACAGAAGGACTAATTTCAGGTTAGTAATTCCTAAGGTCTGGTCTACACTATGTAGTTAGATCAACGCAAGGCAGCTTACATTGACCTAACTATGGAAATGTTTTACACTTAAATTTTGCTCCTGCCGATGTAATTGCTCCGCTGCACTGACTTAATAACTCCACCTCCACGAGTAGTGTAGAGTCAAGGTTGATGTCATTATGTTGATGCAGTGTCAGTGTAGATACTGTTATGTTGACTGTTACTGGCTTTCAGGAGCTATCCCACAGTGCCCCACACTGACAATACAATCGATACAAGCATTCCTGGTAAGGCCGCCCACTGCCAAAACATGGAGCAAAGAGTAGCAAAAGCTCTTCCGCTGGTATAGCGCTTTCTACAGTGGGTTTAGGTCAGTATAACTATGTCACTCAGTGGTGTGAGTGACGTAGTTCTACTGATATAGGTCAGTAGTGTAGACCAGACTTTAGAGTGTTTTAGCTAAATACAACATGGAACAGATCAGTGCTTTATGTGCACAGAAAATACACAATCCTTGCCCCGAAGGGATTAGAATGTCTAGACACACACAAATGAAATCTAGGGGATGTGGATACAACATAAAGCCAATGAGTACAGTGAAGAATTAACACAGCTCTGTTAAATCCATGAATTGTAGTTTATTTTTTCATTGGAGTTGGGAAGGGAGAAGGAAAAGGACAGAAGGGGAAGAGGAATAGTCACAGCTTGTTCCCAGAGTATTTATCATAAGCAGATTGAGCTATGCAGAATTAGCTTGTTCCGAGGATGAGGTACATGAGTGAATTTGTTGGCTCAGTTTCTGTTCCCTTATGTTGTTAAGTTTACATAAAACATATGGAGAGGGGGAGTTTCTTGCCACAGAAACAATCTATTAATATACCCACATGGGTCTGACAACCAGCTGACGTGTCTGTGTCTATGCCTGTGCCTGATTGTACCTAATTTCCAATAAAGCAAAAGGATTTTGAAGATTTCTCCTTTGCAGTTTAATGAAATCCAATGCAAATTTAATGAAAACACAAAGAATTGCCTTCACCACTAGATGTCACTGGAGCCCTAAAGATTTTTCAGAACTTGAGACTTGTCGCCGTTTAGCTTGTAGCTGTTGAAATTAGTTGTGCTTAAAATACAAATCAAGACATTGAATGTTTTAATCATTTGCATTTAGAAGCAGCAAATAAACTAGCACCGTAACATACTGTCTGCAGGAAAAGGCTCTGTCCATTTGTTGCATCATGCCCACTGTAAACAAATGGGGCCAGATCATCAGCAGGTATAAATTAACCATGCTTCACTGAATGGAACCACATCACAGTTGTCTCCCTTGTTGGCAGTCTGAACCAAAAGGTTAAGGACTGAATGGGCATGACGACTGTCACTTTCAGAGGTGGTCAGGATTGAGGAATACTCTGGGCTATATAGGGAACTTCTGTTAGCCATGCTGTACTTGTTCTGTCGATAAATTAAGTCAAGGCATTCAGGTCCTCACTCAGGCAGTTTAAAGAGGCCTTAGTGTAAATGAGAAGTGGGCTCAACGTCTCCATAATTTTAACCCAGCACCTTCTGTGAGCATTGAACTCATGATATAAAGATGTTTAAAGTCCTCTTTTGGGTAATTCATTTTTCAAAATAAAGAGAGTCATGATACTAGCTCTCTAGACTCACTACTCTTTGATTTCCAAATAATTTGTGCAGAAGTAGGGTCTGCTTTATAATCACTCCAAAACTGATCAACAGAAAAATCCCAAATAAAGTTACTATGAGTGCAGTGAATTTCTTCATCCTATTAAACAGGTTTCACCATCAGGCTTGTTAGAATTATGCAAGGAAATAGAGGTGGGCCCTAGTGGTCGATGAAAGAGCCTCAGTACCTTTCACTCAGTAGTCACATCTGAACCTAGCTTTAGTGCCTAAATTCAAACACTGCAAGAGGTTAATTATTCTATTGAATGAAAGTGGGGACCGAATTTTGTGTCTGTTAAACTTCTTTGAACTTGCTAAGAATCCTGTGGGCAGGCAATGATCCTGGGGTCTACAGCAAGGTCAAGCCCATTCAGGAAGAGGTAAACCAAATAAAAAGTGGCAATTGTCAAACTGTAAAAGAAGAAGTACGGTAGAGTGCAACACCACTTTAATATTAATCTCTAGTGAAACTCTATTGAAATCAATGTAGTTACATGACAGCCAAATTTGACCGCACCAATCTATTTGTATTTGATGGAATAATAAGGAATGGTTTTGAAAAAACAGAATGTTTAATTCTGAGAGGCAAAGTTTTTCTGATTTTTTCCACTTTTTCAGGGCACAGTCCAAATAATTTTGCATATGCAAAGAAGGCTAGGTGGCTTTGCATGATATGTTGTTTTAGAGGTGGTAAAGTATTTCATGGATGTAATACATGGCCTATCTATTAACGGTCCTTTATTTGACAGGGATTGGATTCAGTGTTCCTTCAGATCTCTCAGCTTAAAGATGATTTCTATTTTATTGAGAACTTCTTGAACCACACAGATATGGGAAGCTCAAAGTCTTATGCGTCCACACCTGAATTCTTAAAGGAAACAGAAGAAGATACACCTTCAACTTTGTCTCCATCTTCCCAAAATTATGGTGGGTCATACACCTCAGTCCAGACTAACATTTAAACCCATTATTTACACTCACTATAGAGATACATTTGGAAAGATAAAGATAAATCAGATTGACAGGAATTGGATGAATTTCAGGCAACCTTGTATTGAGTTATTGTACATGCTGATACAATCCTTAACAGAGCAATGCACTTGGTGTTTTGAAGGAAGACAACAGCCCTACAGAACGTACCAGAGTAATTTTTCTCTGCTGTACATGGCGGAGAAAACACTCTTTGATTTCCGATGGTAATTGGTTTATGACTTGAAACTTGATGTTAAATTACCCGTTACATTATTTTAACTTCATAGGTACAAGATGCAGTTTGTTGTTCATCCCTTTAAAAGTATTTCACGGTATTTGTGTTAGTGACTCTAACTGGTTAACTATACAGTGTATCAAGGGATGTTTCCTTTTACTGATTCTAACATTACTTCCCTTTATGTTCTTCTATTACTCACCTAAACCTCTAATTCAATGTGAAGACTTGTCTTGCAGAAGCTATACAGTAGCTAATTAATATTTTCCAAGTAAGTAACATACAAAATACCGTATTGACTTAACAATGATCCCCACCCCCAAATTGCTTGAAAGAGACATAAAGATACTCAATAACTTTTCTTTGTGAGCCCTATGCTTTTATTTCAGCATAAATGAGTAGTCAGCACACACAGTAAAGAAAAGAATAACCCACCTTGGTCTGTTCCAACATACCAGCTGGATCCACAGTTACTACAAATACCCTTCAAAGTACTGATCAAGAAAGTTACAAGCCACTGAATGGAAACTATGTTTCATATTTTGACCAGCATGCCAATCATCTGAATTGCTATTAGTTTCACATCAATCTGCATATCATTGTTATGAATTACAGGCCAGATCCTCAGCCAATGTAAATGGGCAGAGCTCTGTGGACTTCACTGAATCAAAAATTATTCATATCTGCTGAGAATCTGTCCCTACTGTTTTAATGCTTACTACCAGCTATTAGCAATAACCACATACCACACAGTATGAAGAATAAAAGAACATTGAACTTACGATGTCCCTAAACAATGAGTGAATAACTTCAGAAAACAAAAAGAAGGTGGTGAGAATGTACACTGGGTACAGTTGTTTTTCAGTATCAGAATTATGTAATTTAAAATAAATTATGCAACAGTTGTCTTTCTGCCGTTAGTAATAAGTAATAATTTCACATGAGTTTTCATGTAATGAAATAATTTGCTATTATGTTCACTGTAGCACCAGATTCACACCCGATTCATCTGGATCGTCAGACACAAGCCATGGAGCCAGAGACAGTGGAAGAGAAGCACAAAATAAACATCCCTTTCATAAAGAAACTTACAGGTGAGATCCTTGTTGTTGGAAGACATTATCTGCAATCAAGCAGAAAGAATAAATGTCAGGAGCCTACAGGGATCCCACCTGGAAGGTATTCACCAGGGCTGAAGGTCACCCCTCGACAAAAGGCCACCAAAACACCTCAAAATAAGACTTAAGTGGTACATAGATCTTGTGTAGGCCCTACCTTCACAAGGGTGAATTTCATTCCAGCTAACGAGATAGCCTCTGGGAGAGTTACATCCCCAGCAGCTCTGCACAATACAATTTTATTTTGAAGATCTGTTTCCCTGTAGAAAGGTTAGCCCAGGCTTCTCTCTCTCCAGGGCAGCGGGGAACCACACTGCCTCACTAAATTCGGGAAAATGTGCTGCAGCCCCCAGGCTACTTCCAGACTCCGCCTCTTGAGGTACCTGGGTCAGGGTGGTGTCTTCAGGGGGGTCCAGCACCATGGGTTCCTCGGGATAGCTGGCGAGGGGTAGGCTCAGCAACTCTTCCGGGTAGCTGCCACTGGGCAGGCTCGGCAACTCCTCCAGGTAGCTGGCACTGGGCAGGCTCGGCAACTCCTCCAGGTAGCTGGCACAGGGCAGGCTCGACAACTCTTCCAGGTAGCTGGCGCAGGGCATATTGGGCCAGTCCTTGGGTTTACCGCTGGTTGCTGGGGTTTCCCAATCGTGAGCTAGGCCAGAGGCATCTGGCTTCCCCAGTGGCTGCTCTCACAGTGAGCTCTGGGGTTGGGCCTTTATACTTCCAGTGCCATGCCTGACCCTCTCGGGGGTGGGCTCAGAGATCCCTGGCTCTGCCCACTCTGGTGTCTGTAGGGACTCGTCTCTCCCCGGGGCAGCGGGGAGCCACACCGCCTCACTACAATCCCAAAATGCTTTAATGAGTTTCAATGCAAGACAGTGCTTAGAGTTTTCCTGTAGATGGTATAAATGACCTAGAACAACAATGAAAAGGTGGGTGAGGTCATATCTTTTATTGGACTAACTTATACTGGTGAAAAAGACAAGCTTTCCAACTACAGAGAGTGCTTCTTCAGGTCTGGGAAAGGTACTCAGAGTGTCACAGCTAAATACAAAGTGGAACATATTATTTAGCATAAGTAGTTAACACATATTGTAAGAATGTTGTTGTAGCTGTCTTGGTCCCAGGATATTAGAGAGACAAGGTCCAATAAATTCCATAGGTCAATTATGTATTGTGCAAAATGTTTTATTTAATTTTACCAATTTTAAATGTGTGGCTTTTTAATTTTCTTGGTTGTTTCTTTGTTCTTGTATTATGAGAAAGAGAACATGGGCAAGTTCACTTTTGCTTCCCTACATCATTCATTATTTCAGATTTCTTTTATCATGTCACCTCTTTGTTATCTCCTTTCTATATTTATTAGATATTCCTTATTCTGATATCACATCAGTTTTACACTGGTGTAACACGATTTCTTCAATTCTAATACTAAGATACTATTTTTTAAAATCTTCTCTCAGCTAGCATTCCTTCCGTGCCTCTAAACATTTTATTTTTTTCTTTTATGGGCCTATTCTGTTTCTGCTTTATTATTTGGGGGTGGCCAGAGATTAACAGAGAAATCAAAGTGAGCTCATACCACTGATTTTACTTGGTTCTTGATTACTGCTATGCACTGAGCAGATATTTCCATTGAGCAGTCCACAGTGATGCCAGGATCTTTTTCCTGACTAGTCATAGTTAATGTGAAAATCATCAGTGGTTCAAACTTTCCATTCTAATGTACATTGCCTTGCACTTGCCATGTGGTATATCATCTGCCATCTTGTTGTCCAAAGTCCTAGCTTTGTTATTATTTGCTGCAGTTCCCCACCATCATCTCTAGTCTTAAATAACATAAATAGTGTAATGTCATCTGTAGATTTTACCACCTCGCTGTTTATATTGACAAGAAAAATGTGTTAATCAGTAATGCTCTGGCCCAAGTGGTCATGGAGAGGTGGAATGAAGGGTGCAAGAGAATTCTTTCTGACCTCCACAGAACTGATTATCTAATGCCCTGAAGCAGGAGGTTATATAATGCCAGTCTGGCAGGTTTGAATATTCTGCAGTAGAAAAGCTTTCTCCAGAGGAGGGAGAAGCCATCTCTACAGCTGCATTCAGGCACACCAATATCTTACAACATTTATAAGTGACTTCCCATTTTGTATATACTGACAAGAAGATTCTTTTTTTGTTTCAGATGTCAGAGACATGACTAATAACTGGATTTGCTCACCAGGAGTTCAAATTTGGCCCCATTCCAGACATCCCGTACATATTCTAAATAAATAGAATCTTGTAAACATCCAAGGATTGAGATACCATGCATATGTCTATGTGCATAATTCTATAATTAAGATAATGTACATGATGCTGAAGTAGTTTATTTTATCATATAATAATTCATTCTCTTTCATAAGATCACAGGAAAGTAGAACAGATTTGTTTATGTTCTTTTGGGGGCTGCATCAACCAGCTGCAATCAGTCATTTGCAGGACAAAAGCTAACAGCTTTGTTTTATTTTTGTTGATTCTTTTATCTAATTGAATAAACTACCTGGTGATTGGTTTATAAAATGGAGAGGATATTTATCAAGGGAATGAAACAAAAGAGGGAAATGATAAAAATGAATCTGAAACAATATGGATGCTGTAAAGGGCTAGTATGTTTACTAGGGTTCTTTAACTCATCATGCATAGAGTTACCACCAGCCAGTGGACTCCATTCAACATGGGTAGGAATGCACACTCCACCTACTGCAAGGGTAGCAGAGCTGCTGCAGTAGCATATGCTCCATTGGAGCCCCACAAGGAATTTTGGTCAAATAAGTGTGCCCCATCAACAGTCCCTTCAGCCTGGGCTGTGGCTATAAAACCCTAACCTTATCAACATGGTTATCTACTGCATCAGAGACCTCTTTTCTCAATCATAATTGAAAAGAGTGATTGGCTAGAAATCCTTTGAGGCCCCTATCCTTGATTTTGAATGGATTATTCTGGTGTAAATTCTAGGTGAAAATGTAAAAGATTGCACATTTTGGTGTACTGTTTTGATTCAAATAGACCTCCAAGTCTTTTTCTATGATGCTGACAAAAATGCAAATGGATACCTGACATTTACTGAGATAGAAAAGGTCCTGGGAGAAGATGCACCTCAGAAAGAGGAATTGGAAGAATTTGATGATGATAACAATAAGATGTACTCCTACCTTGAATTGAGAAAAGCCCTTGAGCTGACAGGTAAGGATTTTTTAAAAACCATTGAGGTTTGTTTCTTAACTAGATTTTTTTCCCTTCCATCCAACACCTCTTCCTTTTTCTGAAAGAGGGCATTAGGGCTTGTCTACAGTTGAGAATTTGCTGAAATATCTATTCTCCAATAATTATTCCAAAATTAGCCCCTATGAGGACACTTTTATTCTGGAATAATTATTACAGAATAGCTATTTCAGTAAATTTTCAATTGTAGACAAACCCTTAGAGATAGACCTAAGTCACGAATCTGGATCTGGAATCGCATCTGAACTTTCCCAGAGTTTGGGTTGTTCAGGTTCAGGGTTCCAACAGGGTGTCACAGTTCAGCTGTGGATATGAGCTAGTTTCAGGTCTTGAGTCCTTCTCTGGGCCCAACTGTAGCTTGAATGAAATCACAATCCTTTTTGTTACTTGACAGCCACAGCCATTTGGGGCGTTTGAGGTCAGCCCCTACAATTATTACTTTCTGAGTTCCAACACTATGACCACATTATAGAAGGGGAAAAGGTTACCCTAAGTACATTTTCATAATTTTGACTGAAGACTCAAGACAAGAGGTTTTGGGAAGTTTGTTTCTGCATAGTGGAAATGGGGTTCTCACTTTCAATCCTTGGAAGTATAGCTGGAGAAAAAGGCACAAGACAATTTAAGAGCAAAATTCTCCTCTCATATCTTTGTGGTGCATTTGACTCCAAAATTCTGCTTTTCCCCACATGAAAAAATATCAATATATTAAGTCGGGAGACCAGAATACTGGAGCTGACATTCACCATGTAGCTGAGAGGAGATTTTTCCTCTATGGGCTTACCTATATTCAAAAACTTGCAGGGAGGAGATGCAAGTTCTCTGGAGGACCGGATCAGACTTCAAAATCACGTTGAGAAACTGGTCTGAAATAAATAGGATGAAATTCAATAAGGACAACTGCAAAGTATTGCACTTAGGAAGAACTAATCAACTGCACAAATAGAAAATGGGAAATGACTGTCTAGGAAGGAGAAAAGGATCTGGGGCTTTGTGACGGGGTGTACTGGCCCCGCACTGGAGAGAAAGGGGTTAAGGCAACACTCTGAGCCATGGAAGCCCCACCCCCTCAACCCCGCTGGGCATGCTCCAACTGCTGTTGCAGTATAAAAGGGAGTTGCACAGTTCAGTTGGGGCTGGCCACCGAGGAGAGAAGACACACCTCGCGAGCTCCAGACGAGGAGCAACCGGAAGCCCATACCAAGGGAGTAGGAGATGCTGCGGCCCAGGCAGGCACCCACAGAGGCCCCAGAGAGATTATAGCCATAGCACCCCGAGACCCTGAAGACACCCAGACTCAGCTACAGGAGTCAAGGTAGGAAGCAGCCCTGGGAGGGACCAGCCAGCATCCCTGCAATAGTCGGCATGTTACACAGTGGAGCAGGATCCCACTGTGGATCCCCCTACCTGGCCGCCCCCCATTTCTGGGCGGTGGCCCACCAACTGCCTTCCCCCACGCCTTCAACTGACTCTGGCCCCTGGGCCATGCTTCCCTGTAGACAAGGGGAGGTCCACTGACTCTGGCCACTAGGCCGTGCTTCCCCACAGACAAGGAAAGCCCTACTGACCCTGGACATTGGGCTGCGTGTCCCTGAGGCGGGGCACAACCCTAGTGGCTGCGCCGCGGGGCTATCACACCCTCGCTGCGTCTCAGGGTGATCAGGGTACTCGCCCCATGAGAGTGCATCACAAACTAAATCTGAGGCCACAATGTAATACTGTTACAAAAAAAGCAAACATCATTTTGAAATCTATTAGCAGGAATGTTGTAAGCAAAACATGAGAAGTAATTCTTCTCCTCTACTCAGCACTGATAAGGCCTCAGCTGGAGTACTGTATCCAGTTCTGGGCACCATACTTCAGGAAAGATGTGGACAAAGTGGAGAAACTCCAGAGGACAGCAACAAAAATGATCAATGGTCTAAAAAACATGACCTACAAAGAAAAATTCAGGAAAAAAAACTGGGTTTGTTTAGTCTGGAGAAGAGAAGACTGAGAGGGGATATGAGAAAAGTCTTCAAGAACATAAAAGGTTGTTATAAAGAAGAGGATAAATTGTTAACTTTAACCATTCAGGCCAGGACAAGAAGTAATGGGCTTAAATTGCAACAAGGGAGATTTAGGTTAGACATTAGGAAAAACTTCTTAATTTTAAAGGTAGTTAAGCACTGGAACAAATTACCTAGGACATTGTGGAATCTCCCTCAATGGAGGTTTTTAAGAACTGGTTACACAGGGATGGTCTAGATAATACTTAGTCCTGCCTCAATGCAAGGGACTGGATTAGATGAACTATCAAGGTCCCTTGTAGTCCTACATTTCTCTGATTCAGAGTAGCTACATTTAGCTGAATTCACCATAAGAAAAACTTATCATTCAAACTTCTGTGTTTCAATGTACTTAAGATATGACCCCATCTAACAGGGAATCTTTTTGTATTACAGAATAACTGAGAAGACTAATTGCAAGGCTGAGAGATGCACACAATGTTCTGGATCTTTATTTTATTTTACAGGAAAGAAAATCATGTACAGGTTTATTTTTTAATTGGTCATTCTTTTGGAACAGCAAAAATCAATTATATACAGATAAAATGCCCCTTATTCCAATAGGCACACCATATTTACCATAGTAGCCATGTGTTGCAGAATAGCTAGAGGAGACTTCTCAAAATGTTTAACTCACTTTTTTGTAATTGTAAGTACATAGGCAAAAAAGGAAGATAAAGGAAATATTATTGATCAAAATGTTTTAAAACCATGGATTTAGTATTAAAAATTCTTATGCAGCTTGAGCATGTAGAAGTTATATACTGAAAAACTTTATTCTTCCTTAAGTGCTCTAATAAATAGTCGATGATTACTCATTTACCCCCCCACCACCACCCCTCAGTTAACACTGTAATACTATTTACTTGGCATATCAAAGAGTGAAATCCTTCCGTCATCATCCACATAATAGATCTGGGATATGGAGCAGAAATTACTGCATATTTTGACCACAATGTGTCAGGTGTGGCTTCTTCGGACGTTTGCATGTTCCAAATGGTGACTACCAAAACCCAATGATGTGCTAGAGAGGACAATCGGAGATTCCTTGGGTCTCTGGGTTCAAATTCTATCATTATCAAATTGAAAGGACAGTTGTGGAATGATTTATTTGCCTCTGATGGAGTCATCCTCTTTCTGGATAAAGCTAAATTACTCTTGCTAGAGAGTTCAGTGGGACTTCTGATATGTTTTCATGGCTGGGCCCTTTGTTGAGATGTTGCCTTCTTCCTTAGTTACGAGAAAGCATTTGCATTTCAATGAGAAATGAATGAATATTTGTCAATCCACCCACCCCAATGCACCCACACACCCTAATATATACAGGAAATTCTGGGGAACCTCTTGTTAAAATAGAGGAAGAACATCATAGTATGCACCAATTCCATGTTGCCCCGATAGATCTCTAAAAGGGAATGAGATTTGGTCCTACTGCAGTACAAATTATACTTGCACTGTCATAACAGGAAGGCAGCATCATATAAAGAGGGTAGTATATCCTTTCGGTGGAACATCTGTTCAGCAGCGTTGTGATACAAGACAGGTGGCTGGGGCAAATATGCAGACTATAACCCTACATGTAGATCAAACAGAGTAAAGGCTCTAAACCAAACATCAGTTGTTCAGAACATCACTTTGGTTGTGGAGGTCATGTTTTCCCAGACACTATGCAAGCAAGTTTATAATTTATGAAAGGTATTCACACATCTCATGGAAAACCTAAGCAACTCAAACTCAATGACTTCTCTTTTAGAGTGACTGGACTGCATAACAAAATGAAATTGTCTATCATTCGTTACAAATTCAGAGATCTGTAATTACTCATATTTTCACTTAGGCCCAAGTATTCCTACTGAAATCCGTGACCAGGATTTGGCATTAGGAAATTAGTTGATCTTCAGTTTATACAATTGCATTGGGACTGACTTTTCACCTGTACTATTATTGAATACATTAGACCAAATTTGGCCCTGATTTATGTGCCTTGCAACCCCCAGGAAATCAGTGGAGGATTTGAGGGACGAAATCCTAATGTAATCAGCGGGACTCTAAACAGGCAGATGCAATTGCAGGATTGGGGCAGGAATGCCCAATCTTTCGAGGTACTGAACACTTCCAAGACAGTTCTGAGTGTGTGCATTACCTGCTGTATACAGTGGGTACACTTGAAAAGTTCATGCTTGTTCTGGAGGTATTACCAGTTTCAGACATATTCTCCTTGTTAAGCAAAGAGAATATCACCATAATCTATAGTATTTTGAAAATTGTCAAAAAAAATGAGGTCACTGTATATATAGAATGGTGGGTACTCAGCATAACTACCAAATCTGGGTACACATACTTAATTACCCATTTTAATGTTCTCTTCATTTTAGATGTGCAGATTTGACTAATAATAATTAATACCTTTCACTTGTTTAAATCTATAAACTCAAATGAGAAAAATAAATAGACAATAGTTCATGGAATTCCAAATCCTTATAACTTGTATGTCAAAAAGTGTCATAAACAGAGGAATAGATAAAATAGGAACAATATGGTGCATTTTTAATTTTGTAAAATAAATTTTGTGTGTGTGTGGGGGGGGTAAATTGGCAGTACAATTATTTTCTATTTCCTGAAGTTAATATATTTTAATATCAATCTTCCAAAAGCTACTTCTATGGGAGATCTTCCTGGAAAGAAAATCACTTACAAGTTTATTTTTTAATTGATCAAACAGCCACATTTTAGGCAAGAAATTTAGCCCATGACTGTTTTGTTTATGTATAACCAAATATCGCTGGGATTTTCTAAGACACCTAAGAGAACTGGTTGATCAAATCCCATTTCAGTAGGATTTCGATAACTAATTCTCTTAGGCTTCCTTGAAAATCCCAGCCCATGTGAATACCATGTACTGCTGTCACAGTGCCTACGAAGATTTTCCTAATTCTACCAATGGAGAATTTGTATTGGGTGTCCCACCTTGGCCACAGAGTGCAAGGTACCTTTTCCCCTATACAAGTATTTAGAAAGTGCTCAAATGTCGGAGGAGCTAGCACCCCTCCTCTGTGAAAGCCAGTGTGAAACTGCCATTTTAATTAAGGACAGGCACAACATGCACTTCTTAGGGCACATTATATACTTTTTTGATATTTTAAGTTCAGCATACATATACCCTGTATTTAAAATTGAGAATACTGCTGATGCCAGGAATACCTCTAAAACTAAAGTGAACTTTCAAATGCACCATCTGTATATGGCAGGTATTGAGTCCCCTCAACTCAGCTGTGACATATATGGCGGTTGAGGCCACTTAGAACCTAATGACCAAAGTCTGCCCTTTAAAACATGTGTGTGATCACTACAGAAGTTAACGAGAGTGGCTTGCACTTAAGCAAAGTACATGTCAGAAATAAACAGGGGGAGCACATCACAGCAATTTCATGGCTGAACTCACCCTTGGAGGATCTGCACTTTTTTCTGACATCCTCAGAACCTCTCAAGTATGTTATAGCTTCATATTCTCTCAAGGAGTGGGAAGGGGGAGTAAGGAGCAAACTTTACAGATGGCAGTATGTCAGTTCCTGTTCTTCATTAGCACAGGTGTGGTATTTCTTTAATTTATTTTTTGCCCGTAGGATCTCCTCCCCACATAGTCTGCCAACTTATGGCAGGAGGCAATCAAACACTTTGGAAAGAGATTTTATTCCTCAATTTCTTTTGCCTATGCAAATATCACCACTAGTTAGGATGGCAGCCAAAAGAAACTCAAATACAGTTCCCAACTAAGGATTAAATAATTAGCTGTTTATTTGTCTTTCAAACTCTCTGCTTCCTTTTTGAGATTTCCCTCCTCCCCTTCCTTCTAAAAACTTTCAACTTCTGCATCCCTATATATCCTTCATTATATATAGACATTTGTCTCTTTTCTCAACTTCCCTCTAGATAATGCCATGCTATACTGCCTAATGAGTTTGGTCATGATTGTCCACAACTTTAGAACTCATGTAATTAATTACACCTATGCAAAGTGAATGTAAAGGGCTCCAAATAAGAAATCTCCTCAATTACATGGATTGTAGTGGTTTAAACCCACTTTGTACTCACTTTGTATAGCTGAAAATGCTACACAATATGCAAGGCCAAGGAGGGCCAGACCCCTTTTATTACCCTGTGCCAGCAAGAGCTGAGAAGAGAACTGATTAGACTCATGCCAGTTTCACACTGTTACTGTTGCCAGAGCTGCTTTGTGGAAGAATAGTACAACTGGTGCGATCAACCACTAAGAGTTTGTCTGACAGGAAAGCTTGTAATGGGGGAAGAGGGGTGTATGAGGAAATGCAGGATACCTTCAACATCAGACCAAATGTAGACTCCACATTGAAACACCTTTTAGCTAGTCAGAGAGCTCTCTCTACATTTTAATAAACACCTCTGTAAAACCAATGTGATATTTTCCCCTATCTCTTTTAAAATTTTATAATTTAACATAGTCAGTCCTACTGAGTGCAAAGGACTAGTTCAAAGGAACACATTAGCAGTGGTTTGGTATAAAAGTCAGTATTAACTGAATGTCTACACTACAATATTGAAATGAAATGTGTTGATATATGAAAACTTCGTTATTTAGAAATCCAATATCTGATTTAATATATTATCACTCTTTTTTGTTTGTTCTCCCCTATAGATGGTCAAATAAAACTGAGTTATTTACTAATAAAATTTGCTTCACTAAAAAAGCTCTTGAAAACTGTATATTATTGGAGAGTTCAGTATAAATGTTGAAAATCCTTAGACTACTGCATTTTTAATCTGGCTGGGGATTCAGTTGAAATCAACGCTATAATCTTTGTCAGTAATGGGATTTTTACTATGAGGAAACAGAATAATGCTCACAAAACATATTTATGTTTCGAGTTTCACATACATACCAGGCCCTTGAGTGTACAAACTGACCAGTGCAGTATATATGTATTTTAATATACATATATATATAGTTATACATACACACATTGTATGAGTTAATGTATATACACAAAACCAGACAAATATGAATCATTTGAATAAAAATGTACTTCCAACAACAGTATTTCTCTATTAAATCCATGTTTATTGCATAAGTTTTATCACAGTGGAGATTAAATTATGCTTAATCATCCGGTCAGTGCTTTTGTACCTTCACTATACCAAAAACAGTAAAAGCAACTCAGTCATACACTCAAAATCCTGTTACCATCCCACCACTCATCGCCTCAATGTGTTCCTTTAGTTGCCATGTACTGATAAGATTGTAAAAAGATATATCTCATCGGCTTATTTATAACAACATTTTCTTCAAGTATTCGGAAAGCAGTACAAATGTCTGTACCATATATTAGAAACATATTTGTAATGTTATTTATTGCTATAGAAGGGAGGCTCCTGATGGAATGATAATGAAATATAATGTCACTGTGTATGAAGATGATCTCAGCATTCTGTCATTTTCACAACTCTTCCCATGTTAGTGAACAACACAAGATAAATGGGCTTCTTTCCTTCCTCTGTCATTCGTGGGATTTCTAACTATAAATAAACAATGCATACACTCACAACATGTGTAGTGCAAATTCCAAGTAAACAGAATGACATGGAAATAAGACATAGTTGCCAACTTTGGTTCAGCAAGACAGCTCTGATTTCATGACTAGTGCCCTGCATCCCCACTCTCCATTCAAAGCCAGAAAAGTTGCATGTCAGCTACAATGATTAACAGAGATTGTTGAGGGATGGGGCCATATTGGAGAGCAGAAGAGACAATCTCTATACACTGTGTTTTGTTTGCGAGGTTTAATGTCACGCATGCCATAAAACCTCTAAACATGCATTGGTTAGCAACCCAGAGAACCCATCCCATGTTCAGAGACTTTAGTGTTGGCAACTATGTCAGGGACTGTGTGGTCCAGACCAACATAAGTTAATATTTTTTTCCAGATAGAACTGTTGAAAGAGAACATCTACAACACTGTGATTTAGAAATAAACTTAATAATATAATAATTATTATTAGGAAAGACATTCAACTTTTCTTAAACAAACCCCAAATAGTGGTTTGCTTCTGCATTGCTCAAGGCCCATGGCAAACCTTCTGCACTGAGCTCAGGGCCCAAAAAAATTTCTGAGTTTCATTTATTTTTCTTAATTATGCATTCTACCCACACAGCCATTTTATTCATTTAATTAAAAGTCCCCTACATTTCTTCCAGTGGAATAAATTATTTATGTAGGGAAAGGCAACTAAACCCCCATAAAATAAAATAAAAATAAAACATACATAAATATAAAATTTACAACTTATTCTAGATTAATCAAAATCCCTTTCTCTAAAGCAATGGCAAAGAACAGAAGAGTTATATAGCCTATTGGGGGGGAAAGCGGTACATATTTTTACCATTTTTCTTCAATGTTCAGTTTTGAGAAAGTTATTTTTTATGGCTGCATTCTCAATCTGCAACTTAATTGCTGCGTGTCAAACACTGGGAAAGATGACTTTATTGAAACATCATTCTTAGGCAACATGTCAAACCTTTAACAAATATAACACAGAGCTAGCTCTAAAATTCTCTCAGCTAAAAGAGGGCTATATATATATTTAAAATAAAAATAAGAAAATCTTTGCAAGTAAAAGGAAACCTTTCCTGGGACACACACATTCAGGTTTAAAAACTGGGAAATCATAAATATGGTCATTGAATTACTTCAGAGAATTAAGGCTTCTAAAAATTTCAGTGCCAAAATAACCTCTCTGCATCAGTATTAAGAATAAAATACATTTTGCATTTTAGGTTGTGTTTTTTGTTTTGTTTTTTAAAGATGTTTCTTAGTTCTGTAGAATCTCATCATATAAGATTACATACTGTAGGGGAGAGTTAGAACTGTTTACTGATGTTTTACTTTAAGTAGTTGTTAGACTAAGTTACAACGATAAAATTCAATTATTGATCTGATTCATTACTGTACATGGGGTAGTTGGCTCATTTCACCTTTTTTTCATGTTTAATGTGACCATTTCTTCTGTATTTGCCATTTGGTATCCCATTGTGGTAATGTCCATTAATGGTGCTATGTTCATCACTTGACCAAAGATGTTTGCTTTGTTTTTGGATAAACTTTGCTATCCTGGCCAAAATGTAGTAAAATAAGGCAGTACCAAGTAGTACAACAAAGGCAATATCCAGTAAGAAATACTGATAAAAAGAGATGGTGTAAACAGCAGCACGTAGATGTTGTGCTCCATTGTGTCGGAGGATGTAATTAATCCAGTACACTGTCCGATTAACAGGATGCCCAGGTTGGTCCTTGTGAATTTCTGAGAGTTTTTGGGCCCGTTGCCTGTAGCTGCGGGAAAGAAACAAACAATGTGACAAATTAAAAATATTATCTTGCTCTCAAATGACAAGTGTCCATGTGAACAGAGAGATGTACTTGAATTTCTCCATATTGAGTGGGGTATTTTGGTAGGAAAATGACAAAGAATAGCAGGTTTTTGAGATGCACTATAGGATAGGTGAGTCCTCTTCAATTCAATAGCAAAAGTATTCAGAGAAAAATAAATACTGACAATAGTTGTACTTACATTTATATCTGTACACATGTTAATATGGGGTAAAATTCACCCCATGCAGAGAGCCAGCAGAAGGGTTTAAATGGGACTTTAGTGATGCATTGCCCTTCGGTTGGCCTTCTACATGGGGTGAATTTTATTCACACTGAAAAATAAACAAAACAAATTAGAGGAATTCCCCCCTACAACACTAAAGTAGACACATACTCTGTCCAATATATTGTTCATTTATACTCCTGTCCAACGAAATATGGAAAATAATGTTGCCAGTTATTAGAGAGATGTAGAATAAAGTGATATGCCCTGTCTCTAATATAGTCTGAACAGATTTTTATATTGTTTGACACTAGATCTTTCATGTTTGGGATGCATTTTTTTAAATTTATTTTTTAGTATCAGAATGCCCTGATCATGGGGATTCCCTTTTCCCTTTATTTCAGGACAAACAGATTACTAATGGGAACCTCCCCTCCTCAAATCAGATAACTGTACAGTGGAAGGCTGATGTAACTGGGATTCATGAGATTTCCTTTGCAACTTCCTACGTAGGTATTTTTTCCTTCATTAATACCCTTCTCCTACTGACTATTTTATTTACTCATAGCATTGTCCTGCCCTAAGACAATAAAAGTGTCACCCACAGACACTGTTCCTATCAACTCGGTAAGTTGTGTCCAAAGCTCCTACAGTGTAATGCACTAGACAACTAGCTAGAACATTGACCTATTTAATTTAGGAATAGTCTATGTGCTACAAATGATAACGTGCATTTGGAATAAGGATCTAATACATGAATATTCCTCCTCTTAAGTACCATGGGACAACAGGTAGCATTTAGCAGTACTATAATCACTGGGTTTAGCAGTTGATTTTCTTACATTAAGTTACAGTGTGAACACAGGCACACTCCTTGAGAATGTGAGCTGTCATCAACGGCAATAGTCTTGATGACAGCATGAGTCTGTCACTATAACAAGACTAAGTGAAATCTCTCTCACACAATCATATGCTATAAAACCAACATGCTTTTGTTCACCACAGGTTGCTAACAGCTTATAGTAATTTATTATCTGTTAATGTGACTTCTCTAGGTTCTTTTCTGCAAGCCCAGAGTGGGTGTAACTTCTTCTACCCTGCAGATGGAGACAGAAGAGAAGCCATATGCTTGGTGGAACCCCCAGATATAAAGGTCTCTAAAATCTGAAAAAGAATACCCCTGCCTTCCTGTTTGTTTGGGAAGCCAACAGGGCCCTTTCACAGATTCTGCATTTTTGACAAATCATCGTAGATGTGAACTGGTGATATTCCTGTTCCCCTGGCTGACAGTGACTCTGAATCAGTTAGTGTTTTCTTAGAATGCAAGACTCACTCAATATAAAAGGTCAATAGGAACAGTTAATTTCTTCTGTGCACAAGAGACAGAGTAGTCTTTGGCTGCCCCATCAATGTTCTTCATGCCACTCTGTTTACATGTGCCTCTGTGGTGCTATTATGTCTTTGGATCCTTAATATCTTGCCTTTCATCCTGTCACTGAATAGTAATAACATGCCAGACCATCCAGCAGGAGTGGCGCCAGGGTTTTTGGCGCCCTAGGTGGGGGTCCTTCCGCGCTCCTGATCATCGTCGGCAATTCTGCGGTGGGGGGGTCCTTCCGCACTCCCGGTCTTTGGGGCACTTCGGCGGTGGGTCCCGGAGTGAGTGAAGGACCCACCGCAGAATTGCCACCAAAGACCCGGAGCGTGGAAGGACCCCCCGCCGCCGAATTGCTGCCGAGGGCAATATGCTGCCCCCACAAATACTGGCAAAATGCCGCCCCCACAAATCCTGGCGCCCTAGGCGACCGCCTAGGTCGCCTAAATGGAAGCGCCAGCCCTGCCATCCAATCTCCAGCCTGTCAAAAGAGAAAGCGCTCTCTGCTACAAGACTAGTGGACACTTCATCCAAAGTGTCTGTCATGACAACTGTGTAAATTAAGGGGACATCCAAGAGCAAATTCAGCCAGAAAGACTTGTCCTCTAGCCATAA